GCACAACACTGTTCACAAGTAGCACTAGCCATTACTGACGAAACTTGCTTTATAGCTTGTTTCGTCAACAGCCAAGGTCAGGTTAGGTGACAACACTTAATATCATCGCGTATTGTTCTATGAGAGAATTTTAATTTATATATTTAACATTCTAACTACTGGACTCTGCGAGCTTATATTTGGTCTTGCGGGCAGTACCTAGAAGCTTACGTTTTTGGTCAAGTCCTACGCTTCTCTAGTGTCAATTACACGGAAAAATTAAAAACAAACTGTTGGTCATAGCTCACTAAAAGAGACAGACACTTCTAGTTTGTGCCAATCTTCCTGTGGCGAAGAATATATATATATATATATATATATATATATATATATATATATATATATATATATATATATATATATATATATATATATATATATATATATATATATATATATATATATATTGTGGTTTAATTTTTTTTATCTCGGTTAAATATATATATTTTTTTCTATTACGATCAAGTTATCACTTTGTGTGTGTGTAATAATAATAATAATTAACGGTATATTGAAAGAGCAAGGCAGCCGGAAGGCTGAAAATATACAGTTGCATAATTGGGGAATGAGTCTCTTGATTGACAAATAATATACAAATGACGTAAGTGATATAAATATGAAATATGATGACTAGGTGGGGAGAATGTCATACTACAGGGTCATTTCAACATAGTGACAGTGCAAAAACGTTAAGATTGACTGGGAGTGAATACACTGGTTGATAAGTTATTGATATTTTTTACAATGGTTAGGACTGGGCTGTTCTTATAGCGATCAGTACGTGCTTGTATGGGTTGGATGCGGTTGTGGTGTGTGTGTGTGTGTGTGTGTGTGTTGCAGAAACATATATTTATAAAATCATTAAAGTAAATATTATATAGAGAATTGTTGGGTAAATGTGATTGACAGACAGAGATCATTCACTTAGCATCTTGTGTGGACATTTATCATTACTATTCATCGGTGTCGCCACACTTAATTGCCCACACCGTAACCTGTAGGCCGCTCTTGCATCAAGGTTTTAGCCGTATTTACTAGTTTATACAGTAGATGAGCACGCATCTGACAATACCTTCTTTGGGGACATCTGTTGGGTGTTGTAGGACTATCTAGTAGTCCGAAGGCACTCTTATAGAAGTAGAACTAGAAGTTGAGTAGTTAACTTGATAACCTAACAGCTTTCTAGTAGACTTGACTCCACTAGACCAACGTGTACCTTAATCTCTTGTGCTCAGTATGCTCCATTCGGGTAAGTCTCAGAGAGGAAATAAACTCGTTGGTACAAAATTAGACTTATTCTTCGGTAACTTGAACAGGAAGCTAGGAGAGGTGTGTTAACGAGGCTGTCTGTGTTAGTAGACACAAGAATGTGGCGTGATGTTGACTGTCGTGTCGCCATATACTTCACAGCAGCTAGAATAACAAGACCCGACGCTCAACATAGGTGTGTATTATGAGACATAACGAAACGTTTTAATCGGCGCCACTGTATCGAAATGCCTTGCAACCATCCATCTCGGTAGACATGCAAAATGTTTTATACTGGACTAGTAATACTGACACATTAACAAAATTTTAAACATTTTATTTTATTCTTATTACTAAAATTCTCCCACCTCTTTACTGGGAGTCAATCTTGGCACCTTAAACTCGCGTGGAAGCCCCCAAGGATTGGAAATATTTTCAACACGGTGAGCGTGAAGGGGCGACGGGACGCCAAGAGCAGTGTGTGACAGATATAGAAAACCAAAAAGGGGCGTATTGGTGACAGAGTGCCAGGGAGTGTCATGAAGTGGCAGTGAAGAAGGCACCGAACCCCGCTACTCCACACACATTTCCCTCTTGTAGCCATTCCTCGCGTTCTTTCGCTCGCTGGTGCAAGTTTTCTTGTTGTTACCCACGAAAATTATCCTCTGGGATGATCACTGTGTGTGAAGAGTGAAAGTTTGAATAGTTACGTCAGTGCTTAATGAAGCTAAGATGTAATGTAATAGTTCTGGACGACAGAAAGAGGATTGTAAAGATTTTTTTTTCCTGAGTGTGTAATTGACTGGTGTGTGTGAGAGTGAGGAGGGGTGTGTGTGAGAGAGTGAAGAGAGGAGTGTGTGAGAGTGAGGAGGGGTGTGTGTGAGAGAGTGAAGAGAGGAGTGTGTGAGAGTGAGGAGGGGAGAGTGAGGAGGGGAGAGGGGAAAGGGAGGGAGGGGAGGTGGGGAGGGTGGGGAGGGAGAGGAGGGAGGGTGAGGAGGGGAGGGGTGGGAGAGTGGGAGAGAGAGGAGAGTGAGGAGAGGGAGGGGGGGAGAGTGAGGAGAGGGAGTGTGAGAGGAGAGAGGGAGGGGAGGAGGAGAGGGAGGTGTGGAGAGGAGGGAGAGTGTGTGGAGAGTGAGGGGGGAAGGGGAGAGTGAGGGGGAGAGAGTGAGGGGGAGGGAGAGTGAGGAGGAGGTGAGAGGAGGGAGGGGAGGAGAGTGAGGAGGGGAGGGGAGGGAGAGAGAGGAGGAGGAGAGGAGGAGGAGGGAGTGTGTGTGTGAGAGCAGGAGGGAGGGTCGGAGTAAAAGTGTGCAAGGTGTGTGTGTGTGTGTGTGTGTGTGTGCGTTAACAAACACAAAGTTAACACATCAGTGACACCCTCTTGACGAAGGGACCCTGACGGAGGCTGCTGGTTCTGACAAGCTTATATGCACTCATTACAGTTGAACACCACCATACGCGGGACATCCTCACCCCAAGGCTGACCGTGTTTGGGTTCTTGTTTTTCTCGAGCGGACAGGGACAGACAATATAGTTGCTTATCCCTATATCAAACAATGACCTTGAGCAGTAAGTAAAACAGTGTATACCTAATGGGATATGCTTTTGTGTGTATGTGTGTGTGTGTGTGTGTGTGTGTGTGTGTGTGTGTGAGTTTCAACTTGCGTGTGTGTTTGTATCTCAATATATACGGTAGTTGTTTATATATGCGTGTGTATGAAAGTACAGATTTATAATTTACATAAGAATTTCCTTTAGCTTCTGTCACAACACATCTTGCCTACGTCCTCAGTGTACAAACTCTCTTGAGATCATGAACACTCTTTAACATGTGAGGGTGACAGAAAGGTAATATTTTCCTCTATTAGCTTATATTTCAAAGTAAAAAAAATCGAAAATACTGTCGCAAATACTCATCACCAAGAAAAAATTTATGTTTAATTCGCATCACTTAAAAACGTCCGCGTGGTCTGATAGAGGGAGTGGCGATCTGTTGTCATGTTTAATTTGACTTCATATATGTTTCTAATTTTGACCCATATATACAGGGGGATTCTAATATATAAAGGTATAAAGTTATGCTGTCGACGATATTTAGTAACGTTTAGGTATTTATCTGTCTTTGGTGATTAGGGAGGTAGGAGGTGCTCTGGAGGACATAGTTTAACATAGAGGTTTTCAATCTGAGGACTATAGATGCACCACAAGCTGTGTAAGTGACGTCGCGGAGGATAACGATGTAGCACAAAGTGTTCATCGGCCTCATCTTTAAATTGGAAATAATGAATCGATTTTCTGAACTGAAGTGGGTAAAGTTCTGACGTTCTAGTATTTTTAGTTGTCTGTTTCTACTAAAGTTCTGACGTTCTAGTATTTTTAGTTGTCTGTTTCTACTACTGTATAGGTCGCTATTAGGGGAGTGCGACCATTTCCCATAACTTGGATTACCTGTGTGAAGCGAGGTTTTCCATCCTTCGTGCTATGAAGAAGTCAAGGAGCAAGTTGAAGACAGAGTATGAGTGACCTGAAGCATTGTCTGTTTCCTTTTGACTCAACCCGAAACTGATCGCCTGGTGTCTCACTAGCTGGGCTCAAGTATCTGTGCAAGTGATAAATTTTTGTTATTTGTATAATATGGACACAAAGTAGTACCTTAAGCTATGTATTCTTATATTACTCGATTAATTATGTATTGTAAAGTATTACAGAACATGTATTAATCCTATGTAATACTTCCATTTATTATGTACCATGTTATGTATGTGAATTATCATATTTACATATTATGTATTCAGCTTGTGAATGCTGGCATCTGTACATGCCAGCGCGGAGTGATACAGAGAGTTGAGATCACTAGTCCTTATGGTGTGGAAGCTCACGTCTATTTGTTTCCTCTACCTCGACACACGTGAATTACCAGTCGAATACCAAATTGCGGGTTACAAACTGTTCCATACCGATAGGCAGACCAGGAAAGGAGGCGGAGTAGCAATCTATGTTAGGGATAATCTGAAGTGGAAAAAGACTAAGATCTATAGTTTATCCTAGCGCGTGATTGAGGAGATTCCAGTAACCTCAGACGCAATATTTACGACGCTGGAGGTATTCATCCGTGAGGCAGGCATGGATTAATCAAATGCATCGATCTGAACATTGATGGAGCTGTTGCAATGATCGGGTTTTTACAAAGAGCAAGCACACAAATCAAAAACGTATTTTCCAATTATGTTTCAACCCACTTTGTGTCCATGTACAAATAGTAAAAGGCTGTGAGAATCATGAATGCCGTATTGGTACACAAGTCAAGAAATAGCGCCATGTTGAAGTCCTCTGGAAATTGACGAGTAATAAAGTCATGATTTGTATAGCTGTCGTAATTGTGAAAAATACGCGCTCTGCTTTATACTGTATATGTTGAATAATTGGTGAGTATAAATTTTATCCTGTAGTGTGATAACTAGAAAGAGACCAAAATAATGTGTATGTGTGTATTTTACAATCTAGTATATTATCAAATATTTAAATATAAATTGTATTTTTTGATTTCTAACACATTGATGGTTCATTATTACATTAAAAAAACGTGTAAGAGGAGGGTTACACATTATTACTGTGTCGTGCTCTACAACAAACTCATCTGTGTGTCTCATAACAAACTCATCCTTGTTCACATAACATAGGTCATGTTAGTAATGTTTCATTTTATTTCCCAGCAGGACAGAGTCTCACCAGGAAGACGAACTCCTCCAAAAATCACCGAGAAGGTCCTTCTAAAACAACTCTTCGTCACACCATACATTACTTTATCAATCAGATAGAATCAAAAGTGAATAGAAAACCAGAAACGCAAATTTTCTTGAAAGTGTTCATAATTCATAGCCACAAGTGAAAGATTAACTTCTCAGCGATTTGTTAGCAGCAATGATATATTAAGTGATCTGCTACACTACTGTACATTAGTTGGCCGCAGGCTGCACATCAACATCACCAGTATCTTATAGCGGTATATAGTTATTACGACGCCATCACCGCACACCCACGCCACCATGGACATCATCCCTAAGCCCTCAGGTCTGCGCGTCCCTACTCGCATCGGGCGTGTGGTGACTAGGATCTCCATCCCGTTCACCCCCGAGCCTCCTTCCCCTCAGCCAGCCAAGACCTTCAAGATCGCTCCGCTCTCCACACCCTCACCTTCTGCAGGAGCCAGTGAGTACCCACTATGTTTAAGGTAGCTCGGTTCCAGGATTTTTAGAAATAGACGATGTTTCAGGCTGTGATGGATGGTGCACTGACGCTGCGGGTGAAGCTGTCGTCCTTTACAACTTTTAGGTTACAAAAAAAGTTGTTCATGTGAAATATTCATATTTAGTATCCAAAGAAACAAGTTAATAGCCCGACTCGAGCTTTTATATGTCGCGTAAATATTAATGAGATCAGGTTTTTATTCTCACCTCGATGTTCGAACCTTTAATCTGTTTATATAGCCCCCAAATTTGGCAGGACGTTACCTGAACAGTCCCTATGTTTTGATGGGTAGCATCAACCTCTGACTCGACGGAGAGCTAATAAACATCATTATAGAGAGGCGGGTTCTGTGGCTACGCACTCGAATTGTGTGGTGGCCTTGAGGTCCTGGTGGGAGGAAGCTCGCCTATCGTGTCAGCGTCTTAGGTTTATTAAAGGTTGTAAACAGTATGACTGTAGCTTCAGATAAACGTTATACGACTGTGATTAATGTGAAAGATATTAGTAAAAATATAACAAGATAATTATTATGCTACATTTTCTTTCGTTTACACACTCAAAATATATTACAGTATATATCTGCGTGGCTAGTGACTGTAGCGGTGATATAGTAATCAGGTATATTTTATTACACTGAATTAAAATTGTTGAAGATCTTGTGAAACACAGATGAAATATTTCCACTATGTTCAATAATATATCTCCAATTTTGAGGAAACAGGAACTGCGCACTGCGGGATGTCTTGTCCAACAGTATAAGATCAATAACGCTGCAGACCTTAGACAGTTGAGCGGTATTCGTGTTAGAGGAAGAAAAAAACTGAAAACTACACACATACTTCGTGAGTTTTATCTTTAACTTGGTGTTAATGGTATGCTTAAGCAAAATAAACTTTAATCTTGTATGTCTAATAATGACACCACATATTATTGACTTAGTCTAAGTAGAAGCAGCAAAAAGTGAGGTATTGTCAGCATAGGTGGATGCGAGACAGTCTGGTAACCGTTTTAAATCGGCCCCAGTCCTTATAAGACCCGAATAATTGCAACCTAATTATTAATATAACACTGGGCCCACTTCGAATGGGCTTGGATCCTAATGATTGCGTTAATTAGGGACTTGCGACTTATTAAGAATGGGGCCCTATATGACCTACAACCTCAATCCGATTGGAGCAACGTCACTAGTAGAGTTCCTCAAGGCTCAGTGCTTGGACCATTATTATTTATTATATACATAAACGACATAGATTTCGGCGTAAACAGCAACTTAAGTAAATTTGCTGATGACACAAAAATAAAAATGAAAGAATATACTTTTTATAGTTACCCATAACCTTTTGTCGTTTTCTAATAGAATAGCACCAAAAAGAATGTTAGTCTTTTAGTGGGGTAACAAAATTGTTTCTTGCGATCATAATCAACTGGTCTCCACATTTCAGTTCATACTGTATTTTATTGTTATTTCGATTGACTGCTGATGTAAATTCCAAAATGTGGTTTATTTGAGTTTTATAATATCGAGAAACATTGCTTACTGTACACCTGCACGGTCTTTAACTACTATGTACATGTGAATTACACGAAAGCGCTTGGGAACTTCGTGTTTTTCTTCTTTTCCTTGTGGTTATCAGCATATACCTAGATCTCGCGCACCTACAGTGATTTACTTGTATATATATATATGTATATATATATATATATATATATATATATATATATATATATATATATATATATATATATATATATATATATATATATATATATTTCATGTAGCTCCACAATATAAACGTGAATCTGAATTGACGTAATTTATAAAAAAGTAAGAAGGGGTAAGTATGGACGCCGGGTATGTGGTATTGAGGTACATGGTCGTGGGATGTGTCCTATTGAGCTGTGTGGTCGTGGGATGTATGGGTGTAGGTTGTGTGGCCGTGGGTGTGGGCGTGGTGTGAGTATGGGATGTGTGGGCTCAGTGTGTGAGCGTAAGCTGCGTGGGTTTGGGGTATATGGGCGTGGGGTGTGTGGGCATGGGGGTATTTGGGCGTGGGTTGTGTCGACGGGGTCCATGACAAAAAACTCACCGGACAAAACCCCCAAGGACAAACACCCCCGGACAAAAAACGACAAAAACCCCACTAGACAAAAACCGCACCGGACATAAACCCCACCCCCAACCGGACAAAACCTCCACCCCAACCGGACAAAACCCATAACAGACAAAATCCCCTCATAGTAAAAAATATAACAAAATCTATTTAATGTTTATAATAGCGAACATTATGAAATGTAATTTATATGATAAAGAATTAATTAAAACTATATCAGCATCAACATTTATCTCATGTTAAAACAAATATAAGACAAAATCTAATTGGAGTTTTTATTAATTTCTTACAACTCCACTTTGACAATATATCTTACTAAGACGGCGTGGACCAAATGAAGTGTAGGTTATACTGGACTATAGTCATATCATAAGCCTATATTATGCCCAGTACCTCTGAACATTTCCTCCAATGTCTTGCAATCATCTCTAAAATCAACACAGATTTCCGAGTCGTTTTTGAAGGTCTCTGGTTTCCCGTCTTACTCCTTTTTGGAGTGGTTGGTCTCTCGCGTCAAGTGTAAGATGTGTGGACACAATGGCTGCGTCTATGTTGACGCACTCAATAGCAGTCCAAATTGTAGGGTGAGAGAGTAGCCCACCACCTGTTGGAATCCACGATTCCAACTCTCACAGAGGATGTTGGTGAGGTATTAGTTGTCAATTATTCCATACATACATTGTATTATTAAGAGATACTAACAAAGTGGATTTGTAAGAAAACTATTGAAAACTTTAAATACATTTTATTTAATTTTTTACTGTGAGGCGATTTTGTCGGTGGGGTTTTATCCGGTAGGGGTGGTGTTTATGTCCGGTGGGGGTTTTGTCTTTTTTTTTCCGTATCCCATGTCGGTGTGGGGTGCGTATAGGTGGTGTGTGAGGGTGTGGGAGAGTGGCGGAACTTATTCCAACAAAGGTAAGACATCACCCTGGTGTCTTATCTCAGAGACGTAAAGGTGATTGATAAAGATATGTAGACGTAGAAGAGACGTGTAGGGCAGGAGAGTGTGTTGGTGTGACGTGTAGGGCAGGAGAGTGTGTTGGTGTGACGTGTAGGGCAGAAGAGTGTGTTGGTGTAACGTGTAGGGCAGGAGAGTGTGTTGGTGTGACGTGTAGGGCAGGAGAATGTGTTGATGTGACGTGTAGGGCAGGAGAATGTGTTGGTGTGACGTGTAGAGGCAGAAGAGTGTGTTGGTGTAACGTGTAGGGCAGGAGAATGTGTTGGTGTGACGTGTAGGGCAGAAGAGTGTGTTGGTGTAACGTGTAGGGCAGGAGAGTGTGTTGGTGTGACGAGTAGGGCAGGAGAATGTGTTGGTGTGACGAGTAGGGCGGAGAGGTGTGTTGGTGTAACGTGTAGGGCAGGAGAGTGTGTTGGTGTGACGAGTAGGGCAGGAGAGTGTGTTGGTGTGACGTGGGGCAGGAGGAGTGTGTTGGTGTGACGTGGGGCAGGAGGGTGTGTTGGTGTGACAGTAGGGCAGGAGAGTGTGTTGGTGTGACGAGTAGGGCAGAAGAGTGTGTTGGTGTAACGTGTAGGGCAGGAGAGTGTGTTGGTGTGACGAGTAGGGCAGGAGGTGTGTTGGTGTGACGTGTAGGGCAGGAGAGTGTGTTGGTGTGACGTGTAGGGCAGGAGAGTGTGTTGGTGTGACAGAGAGGGCAGGAGGTGTGTTGGTGTGACGAGTAGGGCAGGAGAGGTGTGTTGGTGTGACAGTAGGGCAGGAGAGTGTGTTGGTGTGACAGTAGGGCAGGAGAGTGTGTTGGTGTGACGTGTAGGGCAGGAGAGGGTGTGTTGGTGTGACGTGTAGGGCAGGAGGGGTTGTTGGTGTGACGTGTAGGGCAGGAAGTGTGTTGGTGTGACGTGTAGGGCAGGAGAGTGTGTTGGTGTGACGTGTAGGGCAGGAGAGTGTGTTGGTGTGACGTGTAGGGCAGGAGAGTGTGTTGGTGTGACGTGTAGGGCAGGAGAGTGTGTTGGTGTGACGTGTAGGGCAGGAGAATGTGTTGGTGTGACGTGTAGGGCAGAAGAGTGTGTTGGTGTAACGTGTAGGGCAGGAGAGTGTGTTGGTGTGACGAGTAGGGCAGGAGAATGTGTTGGTGTGACGTGTAGGCTAGGAAGTGTGTTGGTGTGACGAGTAGGGCAGAGAGTGTGTTGGTGTGACGTGTAGGGCTGGAGAGTGTGTTGGTGTGACGTGTTGGGCAGGAGAGTGTGTTGGTGTGACGTGTAGGGCAGGAGAATGTGTTGGGGTGTGACGTGTAGGGCAGAAGAGTGTGTTGGTGTAACGTGTAGGGCAGGAGAGTGTGTTGGTGTGACCAGTAGGGCAGGAGAATGTGTTGGTGTGACGAGTAGGGCAGGAGAGTGTGTTGGTGTGACGTGGGCAGGAGAGTGTGTTGGTGTGACGAGTAGGGCAGGAGAGTGTGTTGGTGTGACGTGTAGGGCAGGAGAGTGTGTTGGTGTGACGTGTAGGGCAGGAGGGTGTGTTGGTGTGCGTGTAGGGCAGGAGAGTATGTTGGTGTGACGTGTAGGGCAGGAGAGTGTGTTGGTGTGACGTGGGGGCAGCAGAGTGTGTTGGTGTGACGTGTAGGGCAGGAGGGGTGTGTTGGTGTGACGTGTAGGGCAGGAGAGTGTGTTGGTGTGACGTGTAGGGCAGGATAATGTGTTGGTGTGACGTGTAGAGGCAGAAGAGTTGTGTTGGTGTAACGTGTAGGGCAGGAGAGTGTGTTGGTGTGACAGAGTAGGGCAGGAGAGTGTGTTGGTGTGACGTGTAGGGCAGGAGGTGTGTTGGTGTGACGTGTAGGGCAGGAAGGTGTGTTGGTGTGACGTGTAGGGCAGAGAATGTGTTGTTGTGACGTGTAG